CACCCGTGCCCTAAACCTGGTACCTCTCCAGTCCCCTCCCCCTGCCAGGCGCAAGTGCCTCGGGTGTACGGTTTTCACGTCCTGTTTTTCCAGGGAGCAGATTCTGATGGAGAGAGAGGGAGGAGGGTCCGAGGTGTTGTCAGTGGGGCAGGGGCACGGAACAAATTCAAATGCTTGAACGACGTACGTATTTCACCTGCTTCTTGGTTTTGTCCCATCCCACACCTGGGCTTGGCCCCAAGAAAGGACAGAAAGGGCCAGACCACGGGGACCAGAGGAGGAGACAGAGAGGGGACAGAGGAGGAGGCTGAGACTTCTCAGTCCCGGGAGGACCACCTGCTGCCTGCTCGGCCATGGAGGCGGCCCCCTTCTCTGACGGCAAGGATGGGCGTGGGGAGAACCTGCCCTCTGCGCTCCCCTCGGCCTCTCCACCTCAGGGTGTTTGTTGGTTTATTAATTACTGGGGCCCAGGAGGCAACCCTGCCCTGAGAACTGCCTTCAGGGTTTCCTAAGCTTTTTCACATACCGTTGATTTAACCCTACAAGTGCCCTGGAAGCAGGTATTATCATTATTCCTGGGTAGAAACCAAATCACTGCAGCAGGAGAGATGCTGGGACAGATCACAGAACCGACTGGCCAAGGTCCAAACCCAGGTTTCTGATTCCAAGTTCTGGCCTCTGATTCCCCGCTTGAGTTGCCTGGGAAGAAGGCCTCAGTCCTCCCATAAAGTAGGAAAAATGGTCCCTCACTTCTGTCTCTTCCACAGTGTTCGGAGATGCAGGGAGAGGGGGGGTAACAAGAGCCACGTGACCTCGAAAATGGACTTAATCTCTCTTTTCTTCACGCATATAATAAAAATGTCTATAGAGCCCATCTTATATGGTTAACGTGAGGTTTAAATGAGATCATTTCAAGCCCTCAGCGGAGTGTTTGTTATATAGTAAGTGTTCTGTAAGTGGTTAATTTGTACCACCGTAAGCAAAAGGCCTCTCACAGTGCCTCCTGGGGGGGTGGCACTAGAAAGGCCAGCTACTGCCCCCCTCGTCCCCCAGCTACTCACACGGGACTTTGGGTATCATTCCCGACACCAGTCCTCCACCCGCTACTGCCACAATCAGGGCCGCAGGATAAAGTAACAGTAATTAAATGTGGGCCCAGATACCTTCCACCCAATCACCCTGAGAGGCATTATTATCCCCACTTTACATGGGAGGGAACTAAAGCTCAGAGAGGTAGAGTGACCTGTTTCACATCATACAGCTCATGAGTAGTGGAGCAGCTTGGTTTGCCTGCAAAGACGGTTCCCATTTTACTGAACCAGCCTGTGTTTCTTTTCAGCCGCACTTCCTCCCCAGGAGACAAGAGTCTCTCCTCGCCAACATCTGGACCGAGTTTAGCCAACACAGGGATGTTACAAGGATAGAGCGGAACTCCGGTCACGCCACTGCAGGTCCTGACCTGGCCTTATTCAAAAGGGATTCCAGGAAGGAAAGAGAGTTAAAACCACGTGTGCTGTGTGTTCCCTAGGTGTGGATGCTGTTATACACTGTGTGCCGTCCTATTTTATCCCCTCAACCACCCTGGGAGGGAGGAAGCCTCATCCCCATTTTACAGATGAGACAACAGAGGCTAGCAAGTGCCTAAGTCTACTTTGCCAAGATCACACAGGTAGCACATAAACGGCAGAGGGTATAGGGGCTCAGGACTTGTAGCCACAAAAAAAGGACATTAAAATACTCAGGAACACCAAAGCAAGCCTGAAAAAAAAGTTGATTTGAGCTATGTACAATGATACCAGGAAAATACACGGCATATTATACTTGTGGCCACGAAGAGTGAAAGGCTCTGGGTCCAGCCTGAGTGTCTCAAAAGGTAACTCCGTGGCAGGGCTCACCAAAGGGGCCTTGGGGACAGTAGTGAGGAACCCCAACTTTCCTAGGAAGTCCCCTAACAGCAAACTCCCCCCGTCCCCAGGCTCCGCGGGGTTGACCAGATGGCCATGCCTGGGCTCCTCACTCCTCCTCCCCCAGCCTCACTAGAACCAGGTACTTGCAGAGATGTTCTAATCTCTTTTCCCCCCCATTAAAGAAAAATAATGTAATCCACGGTACAACTCTACTTGGTCCAAAACCTGCTTAGAGAGTACATGGCATGATTCCCCAGGGAATGATCTCTGTTATGCTTCATTTTGACACAGCAGGAAAACAGAATTAGATTCCTGTTCCTAATTCGACGTGCAGTGTCTCTTGGCCCTGCATTAATAAGGAAGATGGAAGAGTGTCTCCTCCCAAGCTCTGAGCTGCATTTCCCTTCGGTCCCTCATTTCTTCAGCCTTTGATTAGATTTTGAATCCTCTTTGCCCTTGAACTTCTCCTGCTCTGCCCCACCTTCCCTCCCCACGCCCGCCCCCGTAGGTGGGGCCAGAGTCACTCAGCAGCCTCCATAGATGAGCCCTCCGAGCAGCACTGTGCGGTTGATGCGTCTCCCCTGGGATGCGGGCTGGCCTCTCTAGCACTTGGGCAGGCTCATCCTCTCCAGATCTTTGTGCTCAGCCATCCCGCACCCCGCTCAGCGGAGCAAGGGGACACACTGCTCCAGGGAGATCTCTGCCCTTCAAAGGACACTGCGCCTGCTGGGTAGAGCCCACCCTGAGCTGCTCCTCTGAGTCTGCTGGTGCAGCCCAGTAGGGTGGGAGGGGCCTCGGAGGCGGAAGCCCTGGCTCATAGTCGAAGGACTGGAGGTAAGAGTCTTGGTTTTGTCATGTACCAGCTTCGTGACCTTAAGTCAAGTCACTTAGCAGCTCCAAGGCTCTTTGCTCAGCTCAGAATGACTGGGAAAGAGGGAGGTAGAGTGGGAAAACATAAGTGAAAGTGCTTCTCAATCTGCAAGGAACTGTTAGAATGTCGGAGAATGTCAATTCCAATGGAAATAGCCCTGGGCTAGGAGGCAACAGTCTCTAGCGTGGTACTTGGCACACAGCAGGTGTTTAACAAACATCTGAACAACTTACTTCCCAAAGCCCAGTAAGAGCTGAAGCAGAGGAAACAGGGCTCAGCTGCAAAGCAAGAGGGACTGTGGCTAGACACAAGAAAGAACTTCCTGTCAGGCTGGTGAGATGCTGTACCCAGCACAGATGAGGACTGCAGGACAGTCTTTGCCTGGGCATATTTACAGCCTGTCCTCTGTCTCTCAACATTCTCGCTGGGTGCCTGGGGTGTGCCAGTTCAGTCCTGCCTGAGTGGGCTTGTGGCAGAAATTTCCGGGGGAGAATGCTTGATTCTGTTATACCTTTCAATGCTGCGAGGATGCTACACGAGGAGGGCCACCTGGTGGAATGCAACATATCCCAGTTGTGTTCCATCAAATACCAGCATCCTGTGAGCTTTTAGATCAGCATCCTTTTGGGGGCATATGATCACTCCTATTTGGAAGATGCTGAGGTAAATAGTTGTTTTGGCCACAGGACAACTCAGGGTGTCCATGCTAATGTGTGCTGAAAATCTCCACGAGGGAGAGATAGAACGAAGTGTTATCAAAACATTTCTCTCTTTTTTTAGCCACAAAATGCTCTGTCCATAAAACCCTTATCATCTAAAACAATGCTGTCCAATAGCACTTTCTGTGAAGACAGAAATGTTCTATATCTGTACTGTCCACACGTGGCTATTGAGCACTTGACGTGTGGCTAGAGAGACTGAGGAACTGGACTATCAATTGTACTAAACTTTAAGATGGGGAATTCCAACATTTCCAAACCCACTGGGTTGTTGTAATAATTAAATAAGGTATACAGAAAGCATACATAGTTGGGACTCAGCAACTTTGTTTCTTGGGTAGCACAGAGCAAATAATCACGTTGTGTTGAATAAATGAATGCAGGTACAAGTGGAGTCAGTAAGGTGCAGAGGTCCCGTAAAGAAGATGGTTCTGACCCTTGGCAGGGAGGGGGCTTTTGTTTTCAGATGCTGTAGGGATTCCAGGATGGAGGAGGGACTTACACTGCAGAACAGTTCTGAGGAGCCATAGAGAGGAGCCTTATGGAGATGGCGAACCTCTTCCAGTGCAGCCCACCCAGACCCGCAGGGGAAGACCTGCACAGGTGAGCCACACTGGACACAGATACCCGCATCTCGGGCTCCGGGCCCCAGTGGTAGCCAGTAGCCAGCACCTGTCTGACTGTGTGTGGTGCACAGCTGTCACCGGGAGCACACAGATGCACAGATTTGCTGGAATGTGCTGGCTCAAATTAGCTAAATCTCATAAACACTAAATTTATGTCGCAAGTTGAGAGTCAGAGAAAATGCATTTCTAAAACCTGCATTTGCAAAAACAAAACAAAACAAACTTTATCGGGAATTGACCTTGGACCTTGTTCCGTCAGAAAAATCTACTCTCCGAGGAAAGAAGCTCTTCAACCATCAAGTACAAATGCATCCAATTTTATATTTTCCCTCTCTCTCTTTCTGTAGCTCCTTAACAATGAGGCTGAAAACGTGGGGATTGCGTTTGCAGATGCCAAAAGGCTTGGTGGTTGGCCAGTCTCCCTGTAACTGAGCTCCTCTCTGTTCCGCGCATGCACAGGGAGTTCTGGCAAAGGGTGTTCCTGGACGGCTCTCTCTCTTTCACCTACACACACGGACAAACAGCCAAGGACACTTAGGAATCCCCTAACCCTTTGGTTGTCGTTCCCACGATTGGAAGGAGCGAGCCCCTTCTTGGCTTATCATCTGCAGCCGTGGGTGGGGGGGGGGGGGGGGG